CACACACACACACACACACACACACACACACACACACACACACACACACACACACACACACTCTCCCTCCTCTCTCTGGATGTTGTTGTCACTCTCTGGATGAGTGCTATTAGAACCTGCTTTCAGCTCCTCTTTTTTTGAACACACACCTTAGTGCCAAATTTAAAATCCTTCTCCTCACATTTAAGGTCTTGAATATTCAGACCTTATCTTAAAGATCTCATAGTACCATATCACCCCAATAGAGCGTTTCACTTTCAGACTGCTGGTTAATTTGTGGTGCCTGGGGCATTTAAAAGTAGAATGGGAGGCTTTCAGGCCTATCCCAGTTTAGATTTCTGGAGACACTACTTTTAAGAACTTAAAACTTTCCTTTTTGATAGTATATATTTAGGGCTGGATCATGTGACCTGAATCCTCCATAGTTATGCTGCAATAGTCCTTGGCTGCTGGTGCACTGAGTGTTTCTTCTTCATTCACCTTTTTCCACTGACTTTATGTTTATACAGCACTCTGCATTTAATCCTAACAGGTCACAGCAGATGGCCACTCCTCCCTTGGGCTGATTATATGGAGGTTTCTGCCTATTAAAAGGGAGTTTTTCCTTCCCACTGTTACCAAGTGCTTGCTCATAAGGGGTTGTTTAGTCTTTGTCTTACAATATAAAACAGCTTGAGGTGACTGTTGTTGTGATTTGGCACTATATAAATAAAACTGAATGCGAATTCAAAATGAATGAATTGAATGTGTCAGAGTTGTCGAGGCCAGCTCAGCTAACGTATAGCCTGGCCTGTCCTAGATGTTTGAGCACATGGGCTAACAGTTGCTCAAAGACACATCTATATAAAAGATGAAAGGAATAAAAAAAAGAAAAAGAGTATAATGTGTTTTAGATCAGTATGAAACTTTTAAGTTGATTCAAACATCTATTTTGCCCTGCGCATTAGGAAATAGCCACACATTTTTTGACTCATTGACACTGTGTGACATAAAATGTGAATAGCTAATCTGCATAAGCCATTTTTATGGCTCTGTCTTTGTGTCTGTTTGTCTTCTCACTAAATAAATGAGTCCTATGTTCATTTTTATTCAACTTTAGCAAATCTTTACTCTCTGCTATCACTGGTAGAATTTCATAGCAAGTTTAACACATTTTCTGAATGACACAGTGCTGTCTCATAGCTGTTCATCAGATTTTTGATATAAAAAGAGAAATAATGAAAATATCAGGCCCCTTATCTGTGCGCTCCATTTTGTTATCTAAGCAGAAGAGAAGATAGCAGGCACAGAGCATAAGAGAGACGTGTAGGTAGTCATAGTCCATGCATCTGTCTTAATTGCTCTTAACCAGCTATCTGCAACACAATCTGCTGTCATTTTAAAAGGAGCTGCAAGTAGAACTTGAGATCACAATTTCAGACAAGTGGATACAACAAAATACCTTCAAAAGGACCCCCTGCCATTAAATTTCCCCTCAGTGCTCCTTCCTGTTTCCTTTGCACCTGTCCGGTGCTCCAGTGTCAGTGAAAGCAAAGGAGATGGAAAAGTGAGATGAAGTCATGACAGAGTATAGAAATGAATCCCAGTGGGGTCAGCTCTGTCAGCGAGGGAGAGCACAGTCAGATCAGCTGTACCGTAGAGCTGAAAGGAAATACGCGCCTTTCCTAAACTGCGGACGTGTTTTGTGTGCGCGCTCTCATGTTTGCGTGACATACATCTGCCACCTGTTAGAGGAACCTGACCCCAATGTGCATGCATTAATGCATATGCATTCTTGTCTGCACAAGAATGCGCTTGAGTGTGTCAGACCTTTTCCTAGACTACTCCTCTCCAGACTGAATATATAATTGGATACTCGCAACAGGCAGCAGAAAGGGATCCCTGTCTTAGATTATTATTCAGAGGCTTTGAAGCGTGACCTCCGGATGACTGCTGATATAATATAGACAGATCATATGAGTGGACGGTATTTTTAGCACCGTTTAGACATGTAGCCAAGCTGGATGTCTGGAGAAAAGCAGCGCAGCATCAGTTGACCTCCTGGGGCTAGTGTACACATACACACATGTCCCAGCTGGGACTGGCAGAAATAGCAAGCTGTTAACAATTAGTGATAGACTCAGGCCAGACCCAATGTGAAACTGAGTGTCTGACGTTGAAGTAGCTATAAACAAGGATGCAGGATTTCACTCGATTGAACATGCACCATGTGTTCATTTTTCATATTTTATTGTTACATGCAAAAGGTGGTGCGCAGTGTAGTGGTTTACAAGGTTTACAAGTGAAAGCTTGTTTAGATCTACGAGGAGACACAAATCCCTTTAGGGTGTCTGGATTGAAAAATTCTGCCAAATCAAACACACCATGCTGCTGTGGTGACCCCTTGTGAATAATGAGACGTTTTTTGTTTTTTTTAGTCTGCCAAGCCTTGAAGTAATGCTGATATAATGTTTAGCGCCCTCACCAAGCCGAGAGTGTTAGGAATGACATTAGTTTAGCAGGTATTTGGTTGTTAGGCCAATTACCTGGGTAAACCTTGGCATCGTGACAATCGTACAGGAGCTGGCGATCCTCACAGTTGTTACTCAAGACTATGGATGTCTATACAAATTTTATAACGGCCAGTTTGGTAGCTGCCAGGACATTAGGCACCAATAACTGTTGATGTAAATCAGCGTCAAATCCAATAAAAGAACGTTGCCATAAACCTTAAAACGCTGAAATCTGTGAATTTTTGGCACAGGCAAACTACTCCAGCTGATCAATTTAAAGTCAATATAAAGTCAATAATGTTTGTCTCTACCCTGTTGCCATATAAGCATCTTTCTGAATCTGGCGTTAAATGCTGTCACTTCTCTCCACTCCTCTCAGGGCCGTTGTTCCAGGGAGAATTGCAAGTACCTGCACCCTCCTCCCCATCTAAAGACCCAACTGGAGATCAATGGCAGGAACAATCTGATCCAGCAGAAGAATATGGCCATGCTCGCCCAACAGATGCAGCTCGCCAATGCCATGATGCCTGGCACGCAGCTACCACCTATGGTGAGAGGACACACACGTATGAACATACCACAGCTACTGCCCACGGTGAGATTACGTACATGTAAAAGCTCGCACATATATGGCTCCTTCTTGTCTGCGTGGCTCTTTCCCGTCTTTTGAGTCCCCTTCATGTCAGTGCGTGTCTTTACGGAAAGCTCGCAGTTTGCGCTCCCCGCTGTCCTTTAATTCCTCTGCCTTTATTTTGTTTTGCTCCAGCCGATGTTCTCGGTGACACCAGGCCTGGCCACCAATGCAAGCGCAGCAGCAGCTGCAGCTGCAGCCTTTAATCCCTACTTAAGCCCTGTGTCACCAAGCCTGATGCCTCCAGAGATCCTGCCCAGCACCCCTGTCCTCATGGCCTCCAGCCCTGCAGTCAGCCAAGTCCCCAACGCTGCCGCTGCAGCCCAGAAACTGCTGAGAACAGACAGACTTGAGGTAAAACACAAACTGACTGAGTGTGATCTCATCTCTTCTATGAAAAACTTTCCATTACAAACTCTTCCTCGTGGTGTATCTCTTTGTTAGTCAGAGTAGAGTTAACCTCAATGATAATCAGCCTGTAAACAAGACAGATATTGATGGCAAGCAGCTTAACAAGCATAAGAATAATGGTGCCCTTACTTGATTTGCATAAACAGTTTCTGAAACGGAATTGAATTATAATAGCTGGTGCAATTATGCAAAGTAGAAACCAAACTGAAAGAAAATAAAAAACAGGTTGATAAACTGTGATGAAATGTCATCGGTTTATCACTCGTATAATCCTGATGAACTGCATCTCAATTAAGTTCCCGTGGAGATGGTGCTTTCGCTCATTGCGTTTCACACAATGGCACAAGACGAGCATAACAACAGAGGCGTGTTATTTAGAAGAGAGTGCTGAAGCTATAATCAGCGCTCAACGTATACAAACCGCACTAAAATTACACTTTTGTCACGTTGTCACGTTAAATAGCACCTTTTATGTGTCAATATCACACAGCCACCATTTAAAATAGCAGTTTTGTGTGTTTAATAGCATCATGTCACAAAAGTAGCATAGCGCGGTATAAAGCATGTTCAGTCACACACTGCTGAAACGCTCACAGGAGTAAGGCAGAGTTGATGTCAGGAAAGCAACAGCCGTTATGTGTGCCTAATTTAAAAGAAAGTGCTGCCCTCTGGTGTCTCTCGTACTTACTGTCTGAGATGCAACACATAGCTGTGTATAGGGGATAAAATGTATTATGAGATTATACGTATTTGTGTTAATGTAGAAATGGTTCAACATAGTGTGGACCTTTCTGAATGCATTACAGGATCTCACTAATAGTTGAACAGGAAGTATCCAGATATATCTTGTGATGATGGATAGAGGAAGGCTCAGCACAGGCTGAAAGAATTTCACGGGTTAACTGGTTTAGATCAAATCACTTCAATTTGTATTATAATATTAATATTTGAGATTTGAGTGCATAAAACAGGATTTTTTTTTTCTGTGTTCTGTGCAAATCTGAATTTAAGGCAATTTTAAGTGAACTGGACATAGACTATTACTTTTACTAAGGTCATCATTTTTATTGACAGTGAACTTTATAGATTTTGGTTGTTTTTGTGTTTTAGTTTTATTTTTTGCCTGGGTGGATTTGGCAGATGTGTGTGTGTTAGTTTTTTATGCGACTTATTGTTGGACTGAGCCTTTTCTTAGCTGGGACACTCTTGTAAAATAGATTTTTTTTTTATCTCAAAGGTCTTATTTTTCCTGGTTAAATAAGGTTTGAATTAAAAATAAATAAATAAATCTCATGTAAATATTCTGTACAACGTTTTCTCCCGCGGTGGTGAATTTGGACATGGAGCCTGCACGTTATCATTCGCCTCATCCCATTTGTCTGTAGGTCTGTCGGGAGTATCAAAGGGGCAACTGCTCTCGGGGGGAGAACGACTGTCGCTTCGCTCACCCCGCAGACAGCACTATGATCGACACCAACGACAACACCGTCACTGTATGCATGGACTACATCAAGGGTCGGTGCTCCCGAGAAAAGTGCAAGTACTTCCACCCGCCGGCTCACCTGCAGGCCAAAATAAAGGCTGCCCAGCACCAGGTGAACCAGGCCACAGCCGCCGCAGCCATGGTGAGCAGTCTGCAGAAGCGTGTGCACACTCATTTACCACCCACACAACTGGCTTTATATTTACGTTAGGGTTAGCGACTGTAGAGCAGATGTGTTCTGTGTTTCGTACTCAACTTGCTTAACCTTCCTGGTTGGTATAATGTAGCGTTCTCAGTTCTGCTTTTGCCAGGCCAACCTTAAAGGTCTGCATGTTCATGTAGGTGAAACCTGCTCATATCTGGATGATAAGAAGAAGGATCGGACAATAGTGCATTAGTAGCTTCGTTATTCCCATGCTAAGCCTTTTTTTGATTGTTGTTCCTTTTTCTATCATCGCAGAACACGAGTAGAGAGTCCAGTTCCTCTCTGTCTCTGTCTCTGATGGCCTGGCCTTAATTGTGACTCCATTGTTTCTGTGCTTCCTTACCTATAACTTCTCTTCCTCTTGACATTATTATAAAGGATTCATTGTGCTTTCAGTCCTGTCTTACAGTAACAGCACGGGTGAATAATAGTGCTGATCAAAGTGTTTTCTACATGCTTTTATTGACGTAGCGAAACAGAAAGCTCGGGGTGAAGCGTTGCAATGTGAACCTGACTGATGTGCACAGTGAAATGGAAACCTGTGAATATGTGCTTCCATATGATTTCCTGTTCAGTCACTGAGAATCGCTTACAGTAATGGTTGAATAATTTTTCTCCTCGCTATATTCATCCATCTCTGTGTGACAATGACTAATGTAGATGAGTAGCTGTCATCGATTCCTGATGATCATTTAACTGTCGAGCAGTAGAGCTAGTGTCCACACTGTGCATGCCTTAGTCCTGTTATCCCCTTGTATATTTGCATTCCAATGATTTGTTTTTTTATTTGTTTTTGTTTTTCTCACCTATACCCAAACTGCACTGCTGCCCCCATGATGCACCTCTGCTTGCTGGTTTATGTTAATGCGCTTGAACCCCATTGGCCCATTGCCATCATGTGCTCGCTGCCTGCTAATTAAGACTCAGTCGGCTGTCAAATCACTGAAGCGACCCCTCGACGCAACCTTTGACCTGGTACTATGACCTTTCACCTTTTAGCTTGGCATGTGGCTTTGTTGTAGCGCAGTGTTTTAACCAATGATACCTAGCTATTTCTGTTGTTGTTGTCTCAGTGCAATGTCTGTCTTTTCCTCTTGTTGATCTGTCATGATTGGCTGTGATAAAGTGATTGTGGCTTTCCGGGGTTACAAAAAAAACCCAACGGTCGCATCCAAAACAGCTTCCCTTCTTGTACAGATCACCTCGAGCACCAAGTCTAAATGCGTCATTTTTCTCGGAGCCACAATCAGTTCATCACCCGTAGCTTTTCTAACAACAGTCAGTGAGGGCTAAGGAAGTAGAATTTCTATAAACGGTGGCATGGCTTCAGTGTAACGTCTTAAGTCAGTGTTCAGTGTTGTGGAGCAGCTCAATCAAATGTGTGCATGTCTGTGTCGCTAGTGCATGTCAGATGGATAAGGGTGGGGGTGGTGATGGTGGTGGTGGTGGTGAGCGGGCTAAGAGGGAAAGCCTTTAAAACCATACAGGAGTGATCCCACCGTAACAGATTATTACAGTTCAAATGATAGTTCACTCCATCACCAAATGTTGTCACGGATATTCAGACCTCAAGAATGGCCTCAAGCCAAGATGAAGCCCGCACGCGAGAGCGCTCATGGTTTTTAAACAGCAGGGATCCGCTTTCTGAGTTACGTCCCTTGGCCTAAGACCATTTTTGACGTTTTTGTCTGCGAGTGAACCATCACTTAAACATGCTTACACAGTTTATCATGGAGCTAGCAGTGCAGCCTCCCTTTTCTCTGTGCTTCTTACCTGTTACACCACTTGTTAGCAGCCTTATTGTTTTAATAGTTAATGCTTGCTTATGTTGCACTTAGTCAGCCCTAAGACTGCAGAGTTAACAATCCAATGTAATGAACATATGAATGCTTGTTAGCTAGTAGCTCCAGTAGGCACCATGCTCCTGCTTGTGTAGTACTTGTGTCAGACTGCTGCTTGCTTGCTACTGATGATATAATGATATTGTTATTGTTGTACACACAAGGATGTTGTGACAGTGCTCCTCGGATGTCCTCTAACGTATGTACCTTCTTTTGTTTTCTTTCCTGTTTTTGCCTCTTTCAACACACCCTCTCTCTCTCTTTCTCTCTCTCTGTCTTACTTTTTCCTCTTTTTTTTTTTTTTTACCTCTGTCTCTCTCTGGCTTTTTTATTTTCCTTTTCACTGACCTCCCTCCTTCTGGATGGGCAGGGCATCGCCCCTAGTGTCATGGCTCCCCTGCCAAAGCGGGCAGCCCTGGAGAAGGCCAACGGGGCCTCTGCCGTGTTTAACACCGGCATGCTCCAGTACCAACAGGCCCTGGCCAGCATGCAGTTTCAGCAGCAGGCTGCTTTCCTCCCATCAGGTATGGCTCCCAAAGCGACCACAACGAGTGCTCTTACCAACTGAGTGGATGCCTGGATCAGTCTAACCTGGCTCCTGCTTGGCTGGGGTCGGACAAAGTGGTAGATTGCAGTACAGAGCAGATTTTGTTTTTCTTTTATAAAGAGGGATTTTAAAAAAAAAATAGGCAAGTGATAACTCTAGATTTTAATCTAGGCTTGCAGGGATTGCATGTGTGTATTTCAGTGTTAAAAGAGAGCTTTGAAAAAATGTGCTTTATGCTTTGTCCGGCTTTGCATGGCCAGTAGGTATTAAAATGGGTTACTATTTCAATCTGTCAACTAATTGCCTTAATATAATTCTTTATAGCTACCTTCACCCCATATTAAATGCAGGCCCAGGATGATAGGTATGAATACTAGTAATCCAAATAATTTGTATTAGTTTAGGTTTTTTTTTTAGTAGGTTGTTAGACTTTTCACGGTGTGATCACTCATATTTCGAAGAGGGGCTTCGGCTTGGGCTGGGATGAATGGGGCTGGGTAATGGTATCTGGTAACAAACACCAGTTTGAAGAGTCTGGCTTCTGCACACATCTGCTGTTCCTCTCACTTCTTTTTAGAGTATGTACGTAATGTTTAATGCTCTGTAGTTACACTCATAGCCCTGCTCTCACTCTGTCATTCGCACCAAAGATGAAACTGTAGATTCACTTAATTAACTGGTTTTCTGATGATGAGTTTACCTCTTCGCCTTTTCCAATCACTGATGTCTGTGTCCAAGAGATATTAACCTTTTTTTCCCCCACGTTATCTCTCCCTTCGCTCTAATGAACCTTGTGATGGGCTGTTTTGATTTCTCTTCCCTATCCAATCCACTTCCTGTTGCACTGCATGATGGACAGGCTCAATATTGTGCATGACACCTGCAGCCAGCGTTGGTAGGTCCCGGCTTTCCTTCTTTAGTTGTTGTTTGTTTGAGTCGCAGTTTTAGTGAAATGTACTTTGTTGTGTTCATAGACAATTTGTAAGCATTTTTGTTTGGTGACCTGAGAGTCAGTCCTTTGGTTCCGTGATTTGAGGCAAAAGCAAATAATGTTTTATATAAATGTTGTTTATTTCATGTATAAAAACATCCTCATGGTTTAACTGAGCTTCGTTATTTTGACCTCTCTGCCGTATATATTGCTCGACCACACTTGTCCTCATGCTCGTTCTAAACTTGGCTTTTGGCTGGTTTAACCTGACACCTGTAGAAACCCTTTGAAAACATTAAACAAAACTGAGGGGGGTTTGTTAGAGTGGTGACCTTTGTCTCCCTCTGCCACATTCTAGTTTTTGTTTTTCTTTACTGGAAGAGTACAGCAGCAGTTTACTATTATTACATGCAAATATGGAAGTAAGTTGCTGCTGCCAGACTGCGATCTCAGACTGTTTGATCCTTATCAGTGCTGGCAGAGGGAAGAAAGGGAACCAGTTAAATCGAACCCTTCTCTGACCTCCTCTCTCTCTCCTTCTCCTTCCCTCATTTGCCTGGTGTGTATGTGGCTACACTGCTCCTCCTGTATATTTTTTGCTTACATGATTTTCCCTCCAAAAAAGTTCCCATGATGCACGGTGGTACTCCAGGCACTGTGTCTGCAGCCACCACATCTGCCACAAGCGTTCCCTTCGCAACTGCCTCCACCAATCAGGTTTGCACCTCTACCTCCTCAGTCTCTCTCTCCCTCTCTCTCTCCCTCTCTCTCTCCCTCT